GCTGTACAGATACTCATCTCCCTCCTTATCGTTGCCCTGGGCCCCTGCCATCGTCGTTGCATCAGTCACACCTCTTTCCAGGCAGGTGTCCTGCTTGGCAATGGACTTATTTTCTTGAATTTTCCCTCCATTTTCTACGTATTCACATGAAGAAAAGTCTGAGGGGTAATCTGCAAAACTCTCACCTGCCTCTTGGTGCTCCTCCCCTGAGAAATCCTTCATTTTCTCTACGTACTCCTGACCGTCAACTTCAGCAAGAAGATCCTGCAGATTTTGCGCTGATATCTCGGGACACTCCACACCACTGGCTTTCTCTGGGACGTCTCTGCAAGGATTTTCAAGCTCCCGCTCAAAACACTGAGCAAGAACATTTTGTACTTGCTCAATTTTCATGCCCTCGCACTCAGAATCAGAGGAGTCCTCTCGTTTTTTCTCTTCCCTCTCTTGCTCATCCTCTTCAATCCCGTCACCTTTTGTCATCATCTCACTGCCACGTACGGGGACTCTCTCAAAATAGGACACCTCCTCATCACTCTCGCTCTCACCTTGCTCCTCATTTCTAACTTGAGGGTTTTCAGCACCCTCTGGGGCCAGAGGTTGTCCCTGAGCAAAGAGCCTGTCCTCTTTATTACCATCGCAAAATTCATTGCCGCAGTGGACTGACATCAACAAATCCCCTGGTTCCTCTCCTGTTCCCATGTCCTCTTCCTCATCCTCTTCCTCATCGTCTCCAGAGACAGAACTTTCCTGTTCAGAATCTCCATCTGAGCTTGTGTAATCCTCCTCCGGTGTTTTGTCAATGCCCATGACCCGTACACCTTGAAAACCCTCCTCATCAGACTGCTCTTCATCCACATTTTCAGCCATGTAAATATCTTTAGTTTCCATGTCAGACAGAACTGCAGTTTGAAGCGTTGCTTCCTGTTGCACAGCCTCTTCTTCCTTTGTTAAGTTTTCATAAGAGATGTCTGATTTGTCCTCAAATTTTTCATCAAAATTAAAATTCTCAAAGTCCAAATCTCCATCAGGAAATGATGGAACAGATGTATCTGTAACAACATCATTATTTGAAAATTAAATACTTTTCATAAATAGTAAAAAAGTATGAAATACCACAATATCAAGACATTGTTCTTACCTGAAAACGCATCACTGAGTAGATCAGAAAAACTTTGTTCCATCTTCACAAATGGTGGAAACAATAGTTAATATGGTCGCAGTTATAGCAAGACAAACGTTAATGCATTGCCACAGATGATCTCTTCGCTCAGAGAGGAAGAGAACATAAAGTAACTCTCATCTGTTGTCGCTGCGAGTGGCTTCCTGTCAAACAGACGGCACATAAATTACACATTAAAACTAATTGATTAAATATAAGACTACACAAGTATACATTATGTTAGCTTACCTTTTTTAAAAGTGAAGATGATCAAAGAGGTGTATGAAACGTCTTTCTTAAAATCTCAGAAGTAATGTTTTGTGTTTTGTGTTGCTGCAGGAACATACCTTCATGAGCTCATGAAATGATGTCAGGTTTGATGTGGTTTTGGTTTCAGATGCACAATAAAAAGCAGCAGTTGAACACGCAGCTCCTTCGTGTTCAGCTCATGTTTCATGGTGTCTTATATAACTGAGAAGAGTTGCAGTGCCAGTTTGATGATGAGTTGGACTCATTACAAAAGAACACTTGTTATCATCAATATTCTATTTTATTTATTTTAACAGCTAATATCAAGTAAAACTACAGTTAAAATTGAGACATCCTGATTTGTAGATTGTTGTTCTGAGTGGTCTTAAAGCTCATTGCGGAGGAGGTAGCGATGATTAGGCTTCAGGTCAACTTCTACAGGAAAATGATCACTCACCTCAAGAGCCTAAAGTGCCATCAAAAGAACAGGATTAATGTTCAATGCCAGTATATAAGTGAACTAAAGAAAGGTATATTTTTTTACATGTTTACCTCCTCTTCGGTGAGATGGAAATCCTCTTTAAAGTTGAACGGCTGAGCTGAACCTGGTACTATACAAGAGATAATCTCATGTCCGTGGATAATGATCCTGTTTGGAGGTGAAAGCCAAACTGTAAAGCATAACCTTGTCTAACACGATGGACCTCTACAGCACAAAGTCCTCAATCACATGTTATTATAGAGAGTGCACATGAAAGTCAGTTTCCAGCAATCACTGACCTGTCATAGGCACAGTGTGTCTTCTGGCGGACAGTAGTGTCTTGCTTATCTCCAATCAGCCAGTGAAATTTGGGGTCACTCCTCAAGCGCACAGCTCTCCAGCCCTTGATGGTGACGTAGCTGCAGCCGGCGTTCAGGTCCCCTAAGATCATCACATTCTGGGTGAGTGGAGAGGAAGTAAAAAGGGAAGTTCAACATCGAAATTACTCATAATGTCTCTCATATGTGAAACCAACAGGAGATAAACAAATGAGATAACCTACGTCAGTCTTCCACTTCTTGTGAATTCTTTTGAAGACGGTATACAGCTGGTCAATCTCCTTCATGGCATTTCTGGGACAAGTATGCTGCCCGATCAGGACAAAATCCTTTACCACTGCAAAAAAAAACAAAAAAAAAACAAAAACATTTATGATCATATTTGGGGCATAGTGTTCACATGGAACATAGAGGAACTTGATTATTGATATCCCTGAATACACAATCATAATTTAAACTAGAGTTTTGATTCTTTAAGTTCTGGATCTAAATAAGGTGTAATCCACCTAGCACATCCAGGTTTTTGGAAAGCAGGTCATGATGTTTACATGTGCGAAGCATCACAGATAGTCCCAACAACTATGTGGTATACCAGTGTGTACTATAATGCAATTTCTTTTCCTGCATAATTCTACAGATGCCTTTTGTTTCATCGTACATGTTGTAGGGGAGTGAAAGCGAACGATGAAAGGCTCTCTGGAGAAAACTTCAGTTTCATTGCTCCCATCTCCTTCTTCTTTAGGATACTGATAATGCTCTTTGACCTTCAACATGTTGTTCCTGGAGAAAATGAAAGAGCAAAAAAGACGATTCAGGATTAAACTGACTATTAACAGCAAAGGGATCCTGTTTGAGATGGGTTACCTGTAAATGTAGACATACTGCTCCTTGTAGGTCTTCCTTCCCAGCCTTTCACTTTCCACATAAGAGTATGGGTTGGATTTGTGAAATCTGATAACAGCATAAATGAGATAAGTTTAAACTCTAAGGTGTTGATTGGAGTTTTTTTTATGAGACAGATGATTCACAAGATCCTTTAAACTTGCCCACAATCCACAAAAGCTTGCACCTGTTAAGCTCTTTCACCAAAGTTTGTATGGCCTCTCCTTTAGAGTCTCGGACCTCTTGAATGAGACACAAGTCACACCGAGAAAGAATCTTGCAAGCAAAAGAAGAAAATAAGCTCCATCAGTTGTCTAGTTGTGTGTGGCTGGTGCTCTAGATGTTTCACACTTGCCGTACACTACCTTTAGGAGAATCCCCATAACCTTCTTGTTGTTGGACTTTGTTTCGCCAAAGCTCTGAATGTTGAAAGCGCAGATTTTCAGGGATGATGTGACGTTCAACGCACACAACCCGACAACAAACAGCAGAACTGCAGTCCTCATCTTGCAGAAGATTATCACTCTGTAAGTAAAAGAGAGTTTGGCAAGATCCTCTTTGTCACATTGTGAAATATGTTACAAAAACCTCTTCGCCCATCTGCGCCCACAGGACCGGCTTTGCAGCCTCTTACCTTCAGGCTCCCCGGGAGACTGACCCCAGTCCAGCAAAGATCCATCTCTTCATTAACCTGTGGTGTATTTGGGGAACATGCAGGTAAATGTGGATGAAAGACAGGGGCTGCAGATCTGTGTGGTGGATGTGCTGTGTCAGTGCCTGTTGACAATGGAGCTTTATCTGGAACAGTTAAAACCACTGAATACAATAAACAATAGCCCCATCCCACTCAGAGAGTTCAGCTTTGAGTGTGTTTTGTCTCTAAGTTTGAGTGTAATCAGACAATAGATGGTGCCATGTGTCATGTCATGTTAGTTTCATGAACATTTGTGTATCGCTCTGTCATTTTAGCTTACACACGAGCAGCTGGCAGTTACCACAGAGTGCCAGCATCACACCACAAGACAACTAATGCTGAGCACTGCTGCGGTGCTGCAGGTGCTTCATTATTTATACCTGGACTAGTGTGACTAGTGCACAATGTTTGTAGACAAAATGTGAGTATGGGCTCATACAGGACGAGCTGAAAAAAGTGGTTTATTGATACTGATTATGTGAAGTGAAACAGAAATAAAATATATGTTACAAATATGCACAGTTCTCTATCCGTGTTGCCAGTGCACTAGTAATTAAAATATAAATCAGTATTGATACACTTGAGAAAATCTTTCAGTTAATTTCTTTTTACAATCTATATCAAAGGCAAATATTGTACTTTTTACTTAATCATTTTACATATGAAACATATGAAACCGGTCGCTTTCCCACTTCAGGTCTCTGTCAAATAAAGAAACAAAAACAAGTAATGGAGTCTTAAAATATGTTGTAAAATGTGTTGTTGTAGATTACTGTCTATAGTAGTTAAAATGTGATCTACCTCAACCAGCTGCAGTATTAAAATGCTGCTTACATGTATCCATCAGTAAGGATGATCCAATATTGTTTTATATTTTATTATATTATATATTTAACTCAGACGGTAGGTTGCATAATGTTTTACTTTGGTTGCTTTAACTACATTTTTCTGATAAGATTTGAAATGCAGAACATTTACTTGTAATTCAGTATTTTTTGGGTAGTATTACTACTTTTACTTAAGTGAAGGATTTAAATACGTCTTACAACACTTCTACAAATGTCAATTATTTATTGTTAACTTGTAAAGAAGTTGAAGCTGGTCAGACAGAAACCCCCGTCTCCTAGAAATAACATTCGGTGATCCAGGAAGTTTTCACTTTTATTATTTACAATATATTCATATGGAGATGTTGGGATTTTGTAAGACAGTGTAAGAGATCTGTAGGAGAGACTTTAGAGGGTAAATGTGGATTTCACAGTCCAGTGGTTTACAGAAAGTTTCACTCCCCAAGTAGGATAAAATATTACCCACAGGGGAATTAAGGTTGGTCAGTGGATGATGAAGATGTTTCCTCACTAATCAGTGATACCGTTGTAACGATGAGACTGCAAATTAAATCCCATTTCCATGCAATAAGCCCAATTAAACTGTCCTCTCTGATCAATTTAACTGTGGTCCTTCCTAACAATGTCTTCACAATGGAGACCTTGGGTATCTTACTCAGACAACATTCAAAAGAAAACTCGACAAACAGTAACATTTCTTATGACAATATTTCTTTATTTCTAATGCTAATGGCTCTTTTATTGAGTGCTTACTCCCCCAGCAGTGAATCTAAAAAAACTCCCCAGCATGTCACCACAACAGCTGAAAGCATTACTGTGATATTTTATCTTCATTTTAAGTGCTTAATGTTTTATCTGCCTTTTCTAATAATTCAAGGTGGTGCTTTTGACTAAATAAGCTGTTTACAGTAAAAATGATACTTCCTCATTTTCCCCTACTATTTTGTTGACAGTTTCACAGGTTCTTAAAATGTTATTAACCTCAGTCAACTTGTAAGCTGTGCTTTCAACATGTTGTAATTGTTGCAAACATTGTTATATTTTTCACACTTTAAGTGTTCACTTGTATTTGAAGATCCTACACATCATACACACACACACACGTTGAGTTCCAAGTCTGAAATAGTATAAAATACAAAAATATCAACAAACTATATCCTAGAATAGTCTTATTTTAAAACAAAAGCCACAATAAAAATTACATTCCTGAGCAGTGCCATTATCATATTGGTCTAAAACAGCTTGAGTGCTGAGGAGAGGCCATTTCCACTAGATAATCTTCGATGCGTGTCTCTATGTCTGAGTACAGGTCTTCAACTTGCTCCCTGAAAGGAGGATACCACAGCCACAACAGGGCAACTTCCACCACAACGAGGAGTAGAAGGAAGAACATCCACACCTTCCACCAGGAGCCACACAGCCGTGTCTAAACAAAGAGGGAGGAGAAGACTTCTTTTACTACATTTGCTGCATAATGTACATATGAGCACGTCCTTACTCCTTAGTGCAAAATACACATTGGTACATAAAGTATACAACAACTCATAACTGTTAGTTTATAATGTATGGATGAATGAGAGCATTTGAGTATAGCAAGGACACACACACACACACACACACACACACACACACACACACACACACACACAGAGCTCACCG